ACAGGTTGAGGTCTAAGCTAAAAGCCCCAGAGCCTCTGTCCATGCATCCTGCAGATGCCTGGAGGTAAGGTTTGATCCCTTTGGGGTGAGTGAGTTGTGTTGTTCAGAGCAGGGACCTAGAGAGGAAGTCCATACATTCACTTAGCAGTGTTGAGGACCTGAGGCTTCATATTGCCTACCTCACTGCAGCAGGAGCACGAACAAGCACCCACGGTGGGTTTCCAAAACCTGATCCTGCTATGGTCACCATTAGGGAACTGATCTGGACACTGCTAACCCAGACCCAGGGAAACAATGAAGTCTGTTCGTGTCCCCCCAGCACCCCCCCCCGCCCCCCCTGCTCCGAGAAGGCTAGAAGTCAAGTCAGGCACCAAGCGCCTCACTGGCAGTTTAAAATTTGGGTTGTACTGTCCCGGTTTTCTAGCTGCTGCAGGACGAATTGATGACCGGCTCCAAGACACATGAGGTGGGAGGCTCAGGAGTCCTGGCAGCGGGGCCAACCCTCTTGCCTCGCCACCAGGCGCTGAGAGTTCCAGGCCTAGGCGCCCTTGAGTCCGCCTGGGCTCTGGACAAGAGCCAGCGACGAGATCCATCACAGCAGTTGGCAAGAGGCCTGACGGCGCGTCCCCTGGGGGCTCCCAGGCAGCTGGCGCTGTCGGTGAGCAGGGAGGCTGAGACCCGCTCCGGGTAGCGGGAGCCTGGGGCGAGAGGAGGAGTCAGCTGCAGCGCTGAGGGGCCTGTGGTCAGCGGGAACGATGGAAGAGCCGCGTCCTCCACACTAATTGGCCCTTTCCCAGCTGCTTGGCTGGTAATAGCTGCTTCGGGTATAGAGGTGTGGGAGAAGAATAGGGCTCTGCTTCCGGAGGCGGAAGTCCGAAGGCAGGCTCCAGCCCCAAGGTGGGCGTCCTGAACGCGTGAGCGCTAGGAAGGCTCTGGCTTGGTACCTGTGAGTGTTCTTCATCCCTGAGGGGTTGGCGGGCAAAGGCAAAGAGAGGGAAGAGCGTGTAGGCAGGCGGGTAGCTATCCAGCTGTGCGCTCTGGGAAGGAGCTGGTGGAAGACCAGTTTGGATGGATGGGGAGCACGTGGGGCCAGTAGTCCACCTGGCTCCCTTCCAGATTGCCCACTGGAATTCTATTCTGGAACCCCAGGGGAGGTCGAAGGTCCAAGGGTTTCCCGTAGTCCTTTATTATTCTGTCAGCCACGGCCGTGCTGGAGTCTGGATTCTTGTTTCTGCTCAGCTGTACTTCCATTAATTTGGAGGAGAAATACCCTTCCTTAGGTCTGGATGAAAAATGCCTAAAGAAGGATGTTGAAGGAAAATCATATTGGGTGTGGCGACTCCTGTGAGTAATCCCAGCACCTTGGAAGCTGGAGGGTTGCTAAGGGTTCGAGGCCAGACCCAGCTCTACCTAATGAGTTCTAGGTCAGCTTGGACTGCAATATGAAACCTTATCTGAAAAACAGAACAAATAGGGGCTGGAGAACTGGCTCAATGGTTAAGAGCACATTTTGCTCTTGCAGGAAACCCAGGTTCAACTCCCAGCACCCACATGGTGGCTCTAACCATCTGTGATTCCAGTTTCAGGGATCTAATGCTCGCTGAAGTCACCAGGCATGTGCACACACACAGTGCACATACATACTTGCAGGCAAAACACTCATATTCATAAAAAATCTTTAAAAAAATAGAATAAATAAAACATTAAAGCTCAGGGAAGGCAGGAAGGCTTTATTCAAGGTCACTGAAATGAACATAGGACCTTTGCAATGAGATTTTGCAGTGAGGAAGAAAGAAATTTGGCTCAAACCCCAATATAGCATAGCTAAGTGGGAATTATAGTCAAGAGCAGTGTGGTCGGTAGGTGGAAAAAAGTACTAACAAGAAGTGTTAAAGGTTCTGGCTAAAGGTATTAATTACTAAAAAAAAAATTATTTTATGTGTATGGATGTCTTGCTTGCATGTGTCTGTGCACTACTCGGTTCTTGGAAAGGCCAGAAGAGTGCCAGCATCAGGGTCCCTGGAACTGGAGACAGAGATGGGGTGCTGGGAACTGAACTTGGGTCCTCTGGGAGAGCAGCCAGTGCTTTAAAATGCTGACCCATCTCTCCAGCCCACTAACAAGTTTGGCTGAAGATAGGCCTAGGTGCTCAGACATCACCTGGAGGATGTGTGGGATGAGGAACTCCATTAGTTATGGAGGGTGATCAGATATTGAGTGGGAGCTGGATCTCTGGTTAAACAGTCTTGGCAGGGCTCTTGCTAAAGTTGGACATGGTTGAAACAAATACAGAACCTTAAAAAGTTTGCTCTCTTTGAAAAAAATTTGGGGGGTCTGAATTGAATCAATGAAAATACCTTTTTGTTTGTTTGTTTGTTTTGTTTTTCAAGACAGCTTTGGCTGTCCTGGAACTTGCTCTGTAGTCCATGCTGGCCTCAAACTGAAAGAGATCCACCTAGGCTGAAAGTACCTTCTTTAGAGGATGTATCAGCCTATTTTCTGCTACAGTAGAATATAAAATAAGTATGTGTAGCTGTATTAATCACAGTAACTAAGAGGTGCAAACAGCTCAAATTTTTTCTTTTTTTTCCCTTAAAGATTTATTTATTTATTATGTATACAGTGTTCTGCCTGCACACATGTTTGCAGGCCAGAAGAAGGCACCAGATCTCACTCAGATGGTTGTGAGCCACCATGTGGTTGCTGGGAATTGAACTCAGGACCTCTGGAAGAGCAGCTGGTGCTCTTAACCTCTGAGCCATCTTTCCAGCCCCCAACTCAAATCTTTTTTTCTTTTTTGAACAACTTAAATATCTAATGGATAAAAACACATAAAATAAAACAGAATTGTTACGTACAACAACATGGACGAACTTTTTAGACATCGTGATATTATGCTAGTCATGAAAGGACAAAAGTATGAGTTTACTCTATCAGGTGCCTGAAAGAGTCTTTTCACGAAGACAGAGAGTGGGGGCCCAGGGTCTGGGGAGATGGCTCAGCAGAGCACTTATCACTTGCTGCCCTTCCAGAGGACTCCAGCTCAGTTCCCAGCACCCCAGTCAGGTGGCTCATAACCATTTGTAGCGCCAGCTCCAGGAGATCTGAATCTTCCTCTGGCTTCCATGGGTACCCACACATATGCAGCGTACATACATATATATGCACATAAATATAAAATTAAAGCAAATCTTTAAAAAAGGAAGAGACTGCAGAGGTATCCCAGCAGATAAAGGTGCTTGCTTCTAGGATTGATGCTTGTGTTTGATTCCTGGAACCCATATGGTGGAAGGAGAGAACCAGCTCTTGAAAGCTGTATTCTGATCTTCACATGGGCACAGTAACACACACACACACACACACACACACACACACACACACACACACACCACACAAAACCCCCACACGGAAAAAAATAGTAAATAAATAATAAATGAATAAGTGTGTGTGTGTGTGTGTGTGTGTGTGTGTGTGTGTTTCTTTTTTGTGTCAGGGATTTTCTGTGTAATAGTCCTGGCTGTCTTGGAATTCTCTTTGTAGACCAGGCTGGCCTGGAATTTACAGAGGTCTGCCTGCCTCTGCAGCGTGTGCCACCATGCCCAGCTTGAATAAGCATATTAAAAAAGAAAATAGGACCAAATTTGGTGGCCCAATCTTGTGATCTTAGTATTCAGGAAGCTGAGGCAGAGGAATTGCTAGCCTATGTTACAGTCCAGTGTGAGACCTGGTCCCCCCAAATGGAAGAAAGCTGATGGTTTGTGCCTTTAATCCTCAAACTCTGGAGACAGAGGCAGTTCAAGACCAGCCCTGTCTACTTAACAAGTTCTAGGTTAGCCAGGGATACATAGTGAGACAGTCTCAAAAACAAACAAACAAACAAGCAAACATGAAAACAACAATGAAAAGAAGAAACACACACACACACACA